ATATGATCCTTTCATTGATTACACTAGATTTCATGTGAAATAATACAAAACCATGATTCATATTAATGAACACTAATAATCATCTATCTCAACCAACTGAATTACTACTACACATAAAGTTGCTTTTGTTTCAAATTCATTGTCAATTTTATGCGCTTACATTAAATTATAAAATACTGAATTAATGGAATACGAAATGGTATTTTTTTTTCATATGACTGTCACATTGTTTTTTTTCTGTTTGCCTCCCTAGTTTTGCGTATTGATGCAATTTTGAATGAATCTACAAATTTATTGCGTATTTATTCAAGTTACATACACCAAAAATCATCACCATAATCATCATGTTAACCCTTTGACCTTAACTATTCTATTCTATTCGATAAATATGAAAAGCATTATTTTTTTTGTGTGTGTGTTCGTTTAAATGCCTTAATCAATATGTGTACCCTGAAAATTATTTATTATCCAGAGTAATTCAGTACACGGATTATGTAATAGATGAGAATGCAAATGTTTATTACGTATTTATCAATTCAATGTCTGATAAGAATTGCAATCATGTTTTTTTTTGACGGTACACCATTTTCTAAAGCAATCTAATACATATATGTATAATAATAATAATAGTAATAATAATAATAATAATAGTTTATGAAGTCTTATGAATCTTTCTCAGTTTGTTTTTAGAATACAACCGCAGGGTGAATAAGGATAGAAAGGCATTTAAGTGTATTCAGTAAACCGGAATAAGTGTCATTACTTTTTAAATATACTTTTGTTAAATTAATGCAATATCACTAACAAGTCTAATGTATCTCACTTGATTTAACTAAGTGATTGAATTTTTTGAATGAGATCTATATGTCACTATATATTGCAATGATAATATGTCAGTGAATGAATTCAATCAGTGTATGAGGTTGCACAAGACAATAAAATTGATCAAAGTTAAACATTAACACCGTTAGATGCCGGCTTAGTGGTCCAAAGATTAGGCGTTCGCGCCCAAGACCGAGGGTCCTAGGTTCGAATCCTTTGGGTGCATGAGTTGTGGATGCGCACTGTTAATGGGTCCTATACCAGGATGAAACGGCCGTCCAGCGCTTTGACGTTTCCAATGGTGGTACAACATTGATCGATTCATGATTTCAAATGTATCACTTAACAATCTTCACAACCCCGTAATAAAATTAATGCAAAGAATTGGATATCGACTCAATGCTACGATAAGCATACTCTCACTATAAGATCTATGAGTTCTCGGTTCGATCTTTGAGAAGATTATGACTGGACATTCATAAAAGAGTAAACACTGAGATTAAACAGCTGTTGAGTGCTTTGCAGATTTTAATGGTTGTTAATCCATTAAAAACTATTGGTTCGTGATTAAAATGACAAACTTAAGAACCCTTTAAAATTGTATTGAAAATATTTCGAAGGCTTACAGCAGGACCAACATGTATGTAATACATATAAGTGCTAATATTTATTTTAGTTGATTTCACCAGAAGCAACCGCATCTTATCAAATATATATCACTAATGATGTTAATATGTACTACTTTGAATCATGTTGATTCAGATAAATAATAGCCAGTATATTTCTTTTTTTTGGCAGTATTATCTATAGTCAATAGACACCAATTACAGCACGACATGATAATGATTTATTTAACCTAATGATTAGCCCACATAATTTACATCAGAAACTCAGTTACCACTGATGACCAGATAACAATATGTACTTTAAAAACCTTATCTGCGCAGAAGGAAATCCAAGGGGTTAGCCTCTTCTCCATCTCTTACAGCATTGCTGTAGATAATGTTTATTTAATGGAAACTGCTTACCACCTTCACACCCTAGCATAATAGGTAGTTCATCTTCATTGTTACATATTTACTCGCTACTCTTACTTGCACCATTCTCCAGTCAACCTGACTGGAGTGACAGAATTTAAAGGAACAACTGTATTAGCCAGTATAGCTCTACTAGCTTATTTAAATGTGCAAGTTCAACCACTATGTTAAGAAAGCAGGCATGGTCGGGGATTTTGTGTGTAGTATATCTACATGTATGTGTGTGTGTGTATTAAATCAAGTCGAAATCCGAGAACAAGAATGAAGAACAGAATAAGAACTACGACCAAATTATTGTGATTCAGATAAATAGCTACTATGTGATGATACTGCATTACATTCCCAGCGGTGAATACCGATTCATTTCCCACAGGTCGATTACAATAATAGATCACCCTCCCTAGTCACAGAACTTACTCCCTAAGGATTTATTTTTATTATAATACACAGTGGTCATAAGAAAGAGTAACTGTGTACCCTGCGTTTTGTAGAACGAACCTTTTTAACCTCAGCTCACATATTTTTTGTGTAGAATATGCGGAATACAAAGCTGTATGTTGCTGATGAAATAATTATTTAATGTCTTCTGATTTTCGAATTTTATCCAGTCAATATAAATACATAATTTCAAATATCTTCAAAACTAACTTCAATCTCAGCAACCAATTTAGTTGAATGAAAGTTTTCACTAAAGTTTAACACTGAATGATATTTACCTTCACCTTGACACAGACGTGCATTTTCACATACCTGTAAACATCGACACAGTAGTATACACGAATGTGTACTTATAAACATTTATGTGAAATCAAAGGTTAATCATTTCAATTTTGATATGTGAATATTATTGTTGACAGATGGACGATTAATGATAGTTATCAGGCTAATACGTATTCGATACCTTTATCTAAGTGTCTATTGACAGTCAACTTATTTAGTAAATATATGACAAAATGTAAGACAAGAAAGACAGGATGAAGTGTTTATTAAACATGATAAAGTACATGTATCAATACCGAGTCAATACGATGAATTTCACGTTTTTCCGCTCTAAGATTAATTTTTATACTGTATAACGAAATAAAAAATTTCGAACTACATAAGTTATTTATTATTGATTAGTTTGTTGCTTAAATACATCAATTCAGAGTTCAATGTCTGACTGAACATAGATAACCGACTGACAGGTAATCTTTTATTAATTTCGGTCTTTATAACTCCCTAGTTCCATTATCCCTTATTGATTTTAATGATATTATGGGCTAAAGAATTTCATCCTTTACTTAGAGAAATAAAACGGAATTCTCAGTGCGCATAGATGTATATATATATATATATATATATATATATATATATATATATATATATATATATATATATATATGCACTGAATTTAATATCTGAAGTTTCATTATATTCTAACACCAACCACCAGTATAAAATTTTTTTTTATTTCTGACTATCCGTCTTCGCTTATATTAAGGAATCTTGCTGATAGTAAATAAATATCAATTCTGGTTATCAGTATCTTGCGTATATTGTATGATTATTAGTAGTGTAGAATTTTCTTTTCCTAATTGCGGTTGTTTTGTTCAATTATTTTTCTCTTAGAGTTATCTCTTCTCGCGGTTAAAATGAAATTTTAAAGTAATTCTTGTAAGATACTCAATTGGTCCAAATGTGATAAGTTTCGACTTACTAAAAGTTAACCATCAATAGGTTATCAATAGTACTAATAGTTACTCTAAAATGATATTTACAAAAAAACTCCAAAAATTGATCAAGCAGAAATATTTTTTTTGAATAATATCAGTTAATGAGTAAAAATCACTTGCAACCTAATGGTAAACTAAATTATATAACTTGTAGTGTTTGAGATTCCGCTACCCGGCACTATTCTATCTTTGCCTAAAGTGTTTGTCAATTTTGAAACAGTTGCTCAAAGGATTGTACATATGATGAAAAATATTGATTCAGTACAGTCCAATCATATGAGCGGAAAAATTTGACAGTTAATCGAAACAAATTGAGAATGTGATTTTGTCACGAAATCTGATCTACTGGTCTGAATAGTAATTACGTTGAATGACACTTAAATATGATAAAAATAGGAGTACAGAATACTGAGTTATCAATACAGTTGTGATTAGTATTAGATATAATTTTATCCTACTATGAAAAATCTACTGATGACACAGTGGACTTTCTTCCATGAATAACGATATTCAGTGTGTGCCTTGTCAATGGGTAATAATTTCTTTCCATTGCATTTGATAAAATGTGCTTATCTAATGAGAACTTAAAGGGAAATTACTATTTATTTTAAAATTCAATAATGCGTGGTCTACTTCTCAACAAATCTAATGATTGGACAAATCACTTTGAATGATAATCTGCCTAAATAATTCACACCTGAACATGATGAACCCCTAATCTCATCATTATTTGTATTCTTGTTCCTCTGATTTCGTCTCCTTTTTACGTTACTGCTTATTGACCTTTCTTCCACTACTTTCTATTTTCACTACTGTCATCAGGTGTATCTGGTGTAAAAGTTATTAAGAATTCGCTTCAACTCTATGCATGGATAGATAAATATCTATGGATAATGTATGTTTATTGCATACACACAAAGATGTCTTCAAATCCCATGGAAAATGTCTAGAATCTGCTAGTCAGTTGTTAGTTTGTCTGAAAGAGGGTAGGAAAGTATGCATGAAAACATTGTGGTGCAACATCTCACCTGTATTCTAATTGGTTGAATAGATTCATATATACGTAAAATGCATAACATATATATGTGTGAAAATAATTGTTCGCCTACTTTACCCACGTGTTAACCAGTGGTTTTTGTAACAACGATATGATATGTGTAGGCGTGGTACGATCCTGTTGCCTCTATTACTATATATTTCAAAAACACTAGGTAAAGTGTTGTAACCTGTTGAGCCAGGTGGTTTGGTAGATGGGCATGTGTGTGGTGGTGGAAGGATAGTGAGAAGTTGAATTTGAAGGAAGGGAGTTAAAAACTCACCTTGATTTCAAATGAGTGAGATTCAGAGAGAAGGTAAACATACTGTCAGAATTGTTTGTATGTCTCACATGAATTCATCAATTATTCTCTACGATCACAGCATTCAAATGCGATCAATTAATCCACTTCTTTTCACCTCTTTTGCTTATCTCAAAAATGATTATCATACATTAAAATGTATTTTTGACAAATTTCCAGACCATACTGAACGACATTCAACTTTGAAAACTTGTGAATTTTCAAATTATACAACTCCTGTTACCTCTGGTGGAAGTATAACAAGTCCACCCTTAATATTGATAACATCATCTTCAAGGATGATCAATACTTCAGATTGTTCTTCTACCTCATATTCCACTTTGACATCTTTATCATCCTCTTCAACATCATCGACATCATGTGAACCTGAATTGAAAAAATTGAAAAGTTCAGTAGTGCATAAATCATCTCCGTTGAAAAATGGTAGAATATTTTCCAAACAGTTGACAGTGGATAAAATGGAATTATACCCGGATGCATCCAGAGAACCAATAGAAATGAATCAACACGTAAAACAATCTCAACCAAATATCTCGTCAACTAATTATTCTAAATCGCATAAATATGAACATAATGATTTAACGGAACAACAACAACATTCAGTCGTCGAAATCGATTCATCCCCACGTAATACACCGATATGTAATCAGTGTGGTAAACAATTTGCCAATATTTATCGTTTACACAGACATTTACTAAGCCATACTGAAAGTTATGAATTACGCAAATTCCGTTGTTCCCAGTGTACAAAAGCATTTAAATTTAAGCATCATTTAAAAGAACATGAGAGAATTCATAGTGGAGAGAAGCCATTTATGTGTTCACAATGTGGCAAACGTTTCAGTCATTCGGGCTCTTATTCAAGTCATATGTCAAGTAAAAAATGTAACAACAGTAATACTAGCGGTGTCAATAACAATGAAACGAACACAACAACTATACATACACCTAATGTCAGTAGTATTCATCATAATAAATGTAGCAACGATATGGGCCAAATATTAGCAACTAAATCGATGAACAGTGATACTCTTACTAATCAAACAGGTTTTGATAGAACAAACCAATTCACACCATCTTTTGAATTGTTCAAAAGTAAATTCAATGTATCAAACAGAAAACACGATATTAACGATACTAATCATCTCAGTGAAGACACTGAGCTTAGCTCGGTTTCCAGTATATTAGAATCTGTCAATCAAGTTAATAATTCGGATTATTTTTTAAAATTTAATCATTTTAAACTAGATAATTATTTCCCAGCTAATTTATCGAATCAATTAAATTCACATTTAAAGAATGATGAAATTAGTGAACATGTTCACAATACTACTAGTAGTAGTATGGTTACTACTTCAACAACTACCATCACTAACAGTAATTCAAATCATACAAGTGAGCAACCCGACGAATTGTTATGCAATCAGTATAATGTGAAAAATTCATCGAAATCAACGTTGGAAATACAAAGCTTAGCTAGTATGCTTGGAGTGAAACCGGATAATGTGGAACAATTGTTTCAACATTTGTATACAACTGAACAACAACAAAGTGTAGAACAACAAAAACACTATGTCAATGCTTACAGTACACAATATCCGCATTACCATTCACTACAACGTGCAAATATAGTTGCATCTTCACCAGCGATCTCAGCAGTGAATAATCATGAATTAAGTAATCGCCAGTCAAAGTCATCAAATGATAATAGTTTTAATCAGTATGAAGGTTACATGGTTGATAGTTGTTATGTATCGAACTCTTTATCATCCTCGTCCTTGTTCTCCACTCTACCATCTTTTTCACCGTTATCATCATCACCCTCCATATCATATCTTAGTGTTTCTTCATCTTCTTCATTACCGTCAATATCAACAACAAACATGACTAATTTATCACCGACTGTATGCTCAGCTAATTATTCACAACAAGATCCATCGATGCTATTTTGTCAATTAACGCCAGATTTCATGAAACATTTAATTTCTAATTTACATAAAAATAATTTATTAAATTATTCAACTCCATTATCATCTTTTACTTATAAACAACCGAGTTCGCATACATTCATCTCGGAAACATTACAATCGTCACCGTCATCACCACCACCTCCATCATCCTCATCGTCATCATCATTGTCATTGATGATGACAGCGACCACGACTACGAAAAGTGTACAACCAATTACATTTGCACAACAACAGAAAGAAACAATTTTGGAATGTCTGACAGATAGGAGCCATGAAGATCAAGAAAAAGCGTTAGATTTATCATTGCCTCGGTTAACACCTGAAAATATATCACTACATATGGACAGTCAGCAGTTTGATAATTCCAATTCTTATCATCAACCTGATATTTATAAGGCCTCCAATCTAATGTGGTCATCATCATCGACAATGACATTTATGGAGGCGGTTACTGCAGCGGCTGCAGCGGTTTCCTTTTTATCACGAACATCGAATGAAATTAATTATTCCAATCAAAAGTTAGATCAGTTCAATGATAGTTCAATGAATGATTTATCACAATCATCTAGGCTAATATCACCAAACAATTCTCCATGGACATATAAACTGAACAGAAGCTACACACATAATATTAGCGATATTAGCAGTAATAATGGTAATAACGAAAGAAATAATTATTGTCGTACAAATGAGTTTGACTATACTTCTCATAAAAAAACCACAATGGATCATAGAAATACTGAAAAAGAAGTAGGTTAATATGCATTTACATTATCCTTGATTAATATGACTGTCAATGTTAGTTGTTTTCCAACTATATATATATATATATATATATATATATATATATATATATATATATATATATATATATATATCACCAAGTCCCCCTATTTTACTGAGGGGAGATTTTACTAACAATCACCTTGCATAGAATTGTTGATCTGATGATTTATTGATTAAAACAGTGAATTTCCTCCTACTTTTTCAGATCTATCTTACCTAATTCAATCTTACTGATAGGAATGATACTACTCTCCTACAGATGGAGTAGCTGAATCGAATTCATGAGACTATACTTGTTTATCTCATTAAATTTATTTCTAAAATAAAGTAATTTTAGTAGAACTTAGTACTGTATCCTTAGTTTATATTTCTATTAGGAAACCAGAGGACTTAGCCTTAATGTCTGGTTGTAAAAGTTTAAATAACGTAGTTCTTCCTTTGATAAACTTTCATCAAATTCGAAATTAGAGTAAAACAAATATTTCCAAATTAGGTAGGATTGTGAAGAGCAAGGGTCATTAAACAGACTGGATGAACCAATATGAAACTCCTCGTCAATGTAGATTCATGTCTAAAGTGTTCCGCATGAAATCGAGTTCTGAAACTTGAGATTTTCTAGTGAGTACAATCTCTTTTCAGAGTCTAAGTTAAAAAACATCACTGTCAGGGATTTAACAATGATTTTTAAGTGATTGGTGCAGTGATTTATTGATCTAACTAGCTTTGAAAAGCATTTCTGAAAAACTTTAACGGTAAGTTATGAAATGGGAAGCCCACCATTATGAGAGCCAACTCGTAACTCACTGATCATAATGAGTGAGAATCGTACCATAGTAAATATTTTCTAAACTATACAACTGTTTCGAACACTGGGCATATTTCCGATTGAATAAAACTGATCTTTAAGACTTAATATTGGTCACTTAAGGAATACTTAGTTGTTCTCAATTCACGCCTCAATTCTGCTATAGGTAATCCAGTGTGTTAATGAATAGTTTTTAGGATATTCTGTTAAGGAATCTATCATTCCGTTATGTTTCAAATGCTTGGTAATGTTAATTCGATTAGATAGTTTTTTTCCTGTTTTTATTGAGAACTTAAATGTATAAATTATCTAAAAAAGTTTACCACTCTTTAACATTTACATTCATTACATCGTTATGTACAATACGAACATCTACTGTTGTTCATCCTAAAATTCTTAACCGAAAAATATATTATGAATAGTGGCTACTAAATTTGAGAAATTTTCTTCAAGTTGCAGTGAAAAATTGCGCCCGATGCTGTTTAACCTCGTCGACAGTAAGACCGGAATCACAGATAAAACTGGATTGTCATTGCATTATATCAAGAATTACCTGGAGTCCAAAGCTATCCTACTCAGTGTAACTACTGAAAGTGTTAAATTCGATTGTTTGTGAGGCCTCGGGTGGACATTATTAATAAATATAAACATAGGAGGCACCAATTGTCTACTACTATTTGTTTTCTCATGGTTCATCAGTTGAACCCAACTTCTGACTATAACTATCTCCAAAATAAACTGATCTTGGCTTATGAAGTGACTAGAAAGTATTTAAACATTATTTCTACAACGGAACAATATTTTTTAACAATTAATTTATTCAGGAATATGAATTATTCACAAACGAAATAATAAAAGAGGATTTTATTACAATTCATTGTAAGTACGGTAAACAGACATTCACCGTTGGAGCTTCGAAACTAAGTTAAGAGTATTTCGTCATTTAAATAAATAATGTTGTCAGTATAATTGTTATCATTGTTAATCGTGTCCACTGTTGGAAAATTAGGCATGGATGAATAGATTCACAGTCACAGAAACCCACTAGTGCAAAAACCGGATAACTTTATGAGAATAACATCTTCATAATTTAAGTATAAAATTTTAATGTTATTTACGTGAATAATTTTTTTTTAATTCGAGTATGTTATGGTTAATAATCACTGGAGTGATGGCCTTCGTTCACAGATTTCATGTCATTTTATATTCCGTTCATACTGATGGCAAGTGACAAACATTATGAATACACAGTATTATAAACAATGGGGTCCTTTTGTCATTAAAGCATACAAAACGGTGTACACTTCATTGTTCTACAAACTTGTTTAATGGAATTGGAAACTATTGCTGATTCGAAATAGTGAGATTTTTATAATAGTCATTCGCCGTGATATCCAGAGTATCGTCAGCTTGTTATATAACAAGTCGAAAAACAAAATGATTTTTTTGCTGAAGTTCATCCTCTGTTAATAGGATAAATTCAAGATTTACATTATGGTATAATAAAAGAGCCTTATTTACCTAGACGAAGCGATATGTAATTAATAAACTACAAATATTGAGATTACATTGTTTAATTATGAAAGATCACGTACACTTGTACTAATAACAATAATGATAACAGAAATTGTGTGAAGAACCAATTAAAAACTTAACTTCCTTCTGAGCAATATTAAATTAAATGTAAATGAAACTCAATAATAATAATATGTGTTTATGTGTGAGACGATAGATTTATGATTACCTGGAAGGGCTGGACCGCCGTTTCGTCCTGGTATGAGACTCATCAACAGTGCACATCCACGATTCCCGCTCGCGGGAATCAAAACGAGGACCCTCAGCCTCCCACGAACAGTTAACTTCTTCATCACTGAGCCGACATTCAACGGTGTTAATGTCTAACTTATGTCTGACAATAGATTAATTTATCGGCGTCATAATTACGATAATCCACATGGTACAGAATGCCTTTAATGTTTCATCATCTCATAACTGTAACTAATGACTGTGACGTTGATTTTTAAAAAAAATCACTTATATTGATACACTGTTTAATCAATCAGTTTATTGTGAATACCGTTTCTTTTGGAGATTGTTTTGTTTCATTCCAATAATTACCAATATGACTAACAACATGTCTAATTTTATAAGTAATAACTATTAGTCAATCAGTTAGTCAGTTTTAAACAACAAATAATCATAGTTGCAGTTAAACTGGAAAACACGTTGTTAACATTCCTTTTCTTACAAAAAAGCTGATTGTTATTATAGGGTTGTGGAGGTTTTTGAAAACGTTCCTTGTTTCTAATGCTCGTCTAACATAGATTGGTTTATGATTTCAATGAACGAGAAGCTAATTGCATCCGCCACTAATTTCTTTTTTCTCCATTCTTTCTCTCTTTTAGTTTACAGATGCTGAAAATTTGTCTATACAAATCAACGAACTACAAAGTGCCAATGTTCATATACAGTCCGATAAAAAGATTGATGTGCATATCAATGATACTGATTGTTATAATCATTTACATAACTTGAATGTTTGTGAAAATATAGAGAAATACGAGAAAAATAACAATAGTCTTAATGCTAACACAAATGGTAGCATTAGCAGTTGTAGCGACGATATCAATACCAATGAAGTGTTTGCTTGTGATCAGTGTCGAAAAGTATTCTCTAAGCATAGTTCACTTTCCAGGCATAAATATGAACATACTGGTGAGTTGACAAGTGATAAATGAGATTTTATTTTTGTAGAGTAATTATTGCCGTTAACATTTCACTCTAATAATTTGTTGAAATTCTTTTTAAATGAAATTATTGTTTTTAAGTTGTGTTTATAAAGGGAATCCTAGTCATACTATTATTAGGTAATAACTCAACCAATTTTGAAACTTTTGACAAATTTATAAATGTCAAAATCTATGTACTAAACTATGAGCTACAATTGTAGATTGTACATTGCATTAAAATTTGAACTTAGTGCGATAGAACGAGATTTAACTTTACAGCTAGATTACAGATATCTACACTGATTCATCACATGCTTGCAGTTGACAAAAACAAATTTTTCACAAATCTAAACGTTTCATCATTATGAATGATTGATGAATTAAGTACATTCAATGAGAGGCGCTCAAAAAACAGATTTGGAGCTACTCATAAGTAATTAACTGGGAAGTATCTATGATCTTACAAGAATCTAGTCATGATGTTTCTAAATGCAGTGTTCTTGGTGATTCGGATACGTGATAAACAGTTCGTTCAACAAAGTTAATAAGTGTGAATTAACATAAAAATTAGATTCAGTGCCTTGTATCACTTTTTTTCTTAAAACCAGCTAACAAAATGCACTATGATACTCAATCCCATTAACATTACCCAATCCGGTAGCAAGAACTCGGACAAAATTGATTACTATTCAGTATTTGAATGATACTAAATGGATACAATTTGATTTTATGTGGAATCTTTAGATTAATTAACTGCTTTAAAACAATTAACTATGCTGTATAAGTTTCCCAGCAGGAAGGATTGTCATGTCATTTTCATAATAACGACGATAATAATTAAAATGTAGTAAATTCTTTAAAAAAAAATTTCATTGTTTTAGAAGTGTCGTTCAGTATTTGTTAATCACATAGTTTCAGTGAACTGTCAACTAATTAAGTGGATGGAATTTCTTCAAATGTAATTTTATTCGTGTATATAATTCTGTGTGAGACAAATTTAGTCATTTTCAAAGTATTATTGATTAGTCACAGAACATCCTATTTTATTGAGTGTGTCTTACTTCACCCAGTATTAATCAGTAGTTAAAATTGTTTCTATAACTTGGGATTATTCTTGATTAACTTGAAAGTGCTTCCTTCAAAAAACGGTATTTTGAGTAAAATCAACAAACTTAATGAGAAAAAAGAAATGACAAAACTGAAATTTGTTTTGTGTATCTCTATACACTTGTGGTTCTAAAATTGTCTCTTTTCTAACCTAGTAACAATAAAGACAAATAAGCAATGACAGTATTTTCAATGCACATTGGAAAATCAAGTGTACGTACGTTGACAACTAAGTCTTACCTTACCACACACTAGATGTAGTAGTGTACGCTTCTAGTTAGTAACAACCATACCCTAAAATCTTCACATGAGATGCCTTTATTGTCTAATTTCTATATACTTGTAACTAATGTTCATAGTCGAGTAATTACAAAAGCTACAGAAGTATGGTTCAGGATGAGCTAACTAGAAGTGCTAAATGTGTGAATCGAAAGCAAAAATAAAAATCAATAATTTAATGCAAAAAATTTACGCTCTCTCGTCGAAATGTATTGCTTTTGGCAATCCTATTTAAAATTTCTTCTTCAGTGGTGGTGTAACAGGTAGTTGAATAATAATACAAGATTTTCAAATAATGTTTCGAAACGCCAATCAATAAACAGTGCAAACTTTTATCGGACTAACTTCTGAATAATGACTTCAAAATATTAGGATTTTTATGAATATATGTTGTAATTTCTGAAGCCGTTTTCATTAGTAGGTGATATGAGCTGAAGGATTATTCAAAATCAAAGGGCTCCGGAAATGTATTTCATTCTACTACAAAACTCTTCTACAAGTCTTTCGTGCTAATAATGATCACTTTACTCACTTATGAGAGGTGGTTCAGTCATTATAAAAATTAAAGGGATTTACCACAGATAGTTGATAATGATGACTCGATAGTAACTCATATCGACTGAAGTTGTAAACGGTAATCAAATGGGCTGAAAAGTGGAAAACGGTTGGTGCTAAATGCAGAGATCATCAGTCTCCTTACTGTTTCAGTCGTTAGTGAATTCTGGTGAGAACTTTTAGAGTAAAACGATACAGATGTTGATTATCCGGTGGTTTCATATTTTTATCTACCTTTGACAAGTCCGTAAAATAAGATTCCGAATATCGACCTTTATGAAAGGAATAATTTCTTAAATACAATTAGCTCTCCTCAGAAAACAAACAGCCTATTACTACTTTCCTACTCTATTCTACATATTTGAGATACTCGATAGCCTAGTAAAGTTGGTGATATTTAATTTCTGTTGAAATTTCTTTTAAATCTAGTGATTCAGAAAACAAAATTTATGGTTGGATTTTTTCAATAACAGAAAGTGTTAACTATGAGCTATTTCATACATTACTGTGTGTATTTTTAGTTTCTAGAATTTTCTTTATTTGAAACTGGCATCAACTAAACACAAACATTTGAATGTACTAGCAAATATGCTGCTTGTACAGCAAAACACTATCATAGAATTTACATTTCACCAAACTAACAGGTGCCAATCAATAAATTTATTTGACATTGCATTAAGATTGTGTAATTTAGTCTTTAAAACTACTGTATGGATAGTTGACATTTTAATCATAGATGGCTCCTAAGAATGAACAACATTTAACAAACCCACTGTACGATATGATCTGTGAAGTCAACTGCATTTCAACAGTACCAGGTTTTCTTATAAATATTACTGATGATCATCCTTATGTAGAGTAATAGTTATACATTGTTAACACGTCCTGAAAGCGGAAAAATGTTTGTTGAACATTTAATGATTATAAGTGATTCACAAATAGTGTCGTCGTTTGGTAATGTTAGTTAACACATTAAACTAAACTCTAAAATATAAATGGCTTAGCTTTCTAGTTTGTTACCGTGTCTTTAATTATTGTGTGAAATAATTCTTTCTTTACACTGATATTCCTTACTTAAGCCATACTACTATAGAATTGAGATTTCTTTTCTTATCCCCTTGTTCTTCTACATGATACAGTTTTCTTTTCTTTATATGAAAATCAAAAATAGCACGCCTTTTTATCCTAACAATTTTCTTATTTTCCTCTTATTTATTACAAACCTCTTGTTCATTGTCGCTGTATTCTAAAACTACTACTGATTAAACAAATGATACATTTTTAAGAAAAAGGCAAGAGAACCAATAGAAATGATAAATTCCCTTTGAAAGTAAGCGTACTTTGAAGATCATTTATATAATGGTTGTTGAACATGCGAATCACTTTAGTATTTATATTTACCGCGTAGATGAGTAGATTAAGCAAAAAATTTAAAATAAATTTTCAACAACAAAGAAACAAGCGAATTCCGATGAATGCACATGTAAAATTTGTGTCCAAAAAGTCTTAGTTTTATTAAATTTTCCATTTTATTGCGCTATATATATATATATATATATATATATATATATATATATATGTACTGGTCTTTTGTGAACATGTTTCTGATAATTAAGTTTTGACACTATAATATGTTGATCAATTAATTTAATTCAGTGAATCAAATATGTGAAATCGGGATTAGCTCTGTAAATCCACAGCTTTAACAATTAATTTTTAATACTTGGAGTGATGCGTTCTATACGTGAATCCAATTAGGTTACAATATCACTGACTTTGAACAATACCAAGTAGGGCAATCTGTCCAAATTCTTTTATAGTAAGAAATAAATGTACGACCGAATCAAGCCATACTTAACAAAAGAAAATATACTATCATTTTATTCTAAGATCTATTTTTATCTGTAGAAATTCAAGTTATTTAACCATAAAGTTATTTAGTCGGCTATATAGTGAGTTTTCTCGAGCTAACTGGCAATCATTTTCACAATGATAAATCTAGCTTTTAATAAACACAATATTTTTAAACTGTTAACCTAGAAAGTTAGAATGTAGCCTTAGATTCAAGTGACTCCATATAAGGTGCATTTTAGTTTATGTTAGATGGCTGGAGGAAATTAGCAGAAAGCTGTTGATTTTAACTTCATGTTAGCCGGCTCTCATATTCACAATACTGAAGGAACGATTAATTCCAAATTATATCTAAAATTTCATCATCTAGTGTCAGACGTAAAAACGAGAACTCTTGTAGGATCGAGGTATTTACGCTGACTAGTCAATGAGTAGAAATCAACATCATGTTTGTCTGCTTCTAAGCACTTTAATTGATGGCCACAATCCAAGTGCTTGATTGTTCGATGGTAAAATAACTTAATAATCGTAAGAATCGATAAAATGCAACGCACTATCAGTAGTATACTCAATTGAAATGTATTGCAGCATTCAACGAAAAAATTGTTAAGAATTTGTGAAATATTTACAATTTAGAAATACATGTTTCGGAGTTCATGAATATTATTATCCCACTCTTAGGTATGAAATGGTGTAAAAATTAAACTCATTGAATATACCGCGTTTATTTTTTGAAATAGAAAGTGTTAATTATGATAAAAATCAAATATGACATGATCAATTATTTATTTAAATAATGTGTAATCTTTATCGTCATTGGCTGTTGATGTTGGTGATGATGAACAAATGAAGATGCTACAATTGACCATTCAATTATTTAATCGAACCGCTTAATTTTAACTATCCTTATTTAGTTTTGAATTTCTGTCTGTGACAACCTAACACCGAAGAAATCTAAAAAGGCAAAAATTTAGTGTGTTTAATAAATAATCAACAAACAGTGTGCAAAATGAAAATAAATTGTGGTTGTTTTTTTATTAAAACAAAATTTAACGCAGTACATGCATTTAATCAAGTGCATATCATAAAAGTGATATTTATCACTTGACCTACGAATATCAATCAACTCACAAATCGCTAACTTTCAGTTGGATTTCTTCAAAGATTGTAATAAGTGATCAGGTAAGTTCATAT